ATGGACGAAAGCTCAGCACGTTTTCACCCGAAACGAGGGAGGAAGTCTCGTGGACTGCGTCAACATGAATGTCGTATAATAGCAGTACAACGAGATTCATCCGTCCTCATCTGGTGAGATCGACCAAGAAATCTCTTCTTCATGCACTTTCATACTAAATGAAGGTCACCCTAACAATTTTATCTCTGGAGATTCATCGAAACCAACTTTCTCTTCGTATCTATCATATCAAACTGGTATGGAAAGAACTTATTCGTGATCTATTGCGAAGCATATTTTCAACAAAACGTCTGAAATTATTATTTGAGGGAAAACCTCTGACCCTGAGTTGGCATCACCTCGGCTACGCTAAACGGATTCTTAACAGATGCTCAATTGCCAATTACGCCAAATATATCGCCCAAATCCAATCGCTAGGTCCAGACTGTGAAACAACAATACCAAAAGGTATTAGGGGAAGCTGGATTTCGAATTATCCATACAAATGCATTGATGTGGCTATACCTTTCATTCCGTTTGAAGTGGCGAGTGGAAGCGATTCGTAGGTTGGTCTTACCAGAAGCCAAAGGAGCTTTCCCTTGGAGTTGCGATTGTAGCTTTGTGCATTTAAGTCCCGCGACTCCGATGAATTCTTGCTTGACTCTCGTCCGTCATGTGTCCTACATCCTCAGAGAAGGGCCCTGTTATTTAGAATAATTCACAGCAAGCGCAGAGAAAAGATGTCCGTCACATCGGAGTAGCGGGGCGGTGTGTCGAGGGCTAATTCATACAATTCTACACTCGCAGCTGCAGAGCAATCCTCCTCCGCCTCCTGGCGAGACCAAGCTACAAATTCCCCGCACTCGCCTCTTCAAACAAAATGAAATGAATGCCAACAATGCAGCCGTAGTCTGGCTGCCGCCTAAGGCGACTGAGAGATGCCAAATTTACCTTAAGGTTGTAGGTTCGTATCCCGCACGACTCAGATCCGAGCAGATCCAGCTTCAGACAGAAGCGGCTCGGTAGTCGACTCTGGTTGATGTCCCGACTGGATCCACTCAGTCCAGCGCCTGTAGTCGGCCATCGAGCCAGTTCGGCACCAATCGAGTCAACGCGAGTGTCACCTTTCGACTGGCTTGGTCCATGGACTGCCTTCAGCCTGCAGGGATTGGGCCGTCCTGGTGCGTCTGGCGATAAGTTACGACCGTTGTAGATACTTTGTTGGTGTCTCACAATTTCATCTAGCGGCCCGAGGCTCAGCGAGTCATAGGGCAGGACTGGGGAAAAGTGTTTGGGCATCGGCAATAGGTCAGTAATCATGGCTCTGAGCAATAGAATGCAGTTCTAAAAGAGAATTGTCACTAGTGCATATATGCATATCTGTATTTTTCCAATCCGAAAGTGAAACATCTTGTCGTGGATAAGTATGGAAGGACAAATTAAAATTCATAAGATCAGAAATCAGCCCACCTTTCAAACCGATGTGATGACAGCTTCATGAAATGCATTATCATCCAGGGTGAACCTCGGGTTCGAATATGCTTGCAGCCCATCTTCGCTTTCAACCTGACTCGAACCTGGGAAACTACAACACCACACTACCATGGGCGCCAGGGAGCCACAAAGCAGATGTGACTTTCAACATAGGCCAGGCTTCTCCAATATCACATTTAATTGTGACATCTTCGACGAGGCAAAATTCTGCTTTTTTCGATTTGATGTACGTTTTTGAGATAACCAGTAGTGGTTGGACTTTTCCACAATAATATCAGCCAAGCCTTTTACTTAGCCCTGTTTTCCTAAAAGCTGTTATTATCCAATTAAGTATTGTTTTTCATGACTACCAGTAAATCAGTTATAAGATGTATTCACCCGATTTCGTTTAAGGTGATGAAGGACTGGTAGAAGTAGAATTTTTCCACAAATGATATCCTTTGAGCTGACGTTTCCATTGAATTTAACATAGCTTTGCTTTCCCAAAAGTTGTTCTCATCCAGGGTGGACTGTAGTTTCGACCTCGCATTGGTCTTATCAACACCCTCAGCGGGAGTCGAACCGCAAAGCTATGTAAAATTTAATGGAAACGTCAGCTCAACTCGTATCATTTGTGAGAAAATTCTACTTCTATCAATCCTTCATCACCTCAAACGAAATTGGGTGAATACATCTTATTATTATCCAGACAGCAGTTGACTGCAGTTTCAACCTCGCCTGAACCGGTCTCATCAGATCGCCCAACGAGACTCGAACCACTACAGTGCGGTGTGTATTATCCCGACACGTTAAACAATAAAAAACATTTATGAGTTCTGTTTACTCTATTTCGTTTGAGGTGATGAAGGACTGGCATTGCGAAATTCCCACATTGATATGAGTAGGCTGATGTTTTCCATACAATTCATATTTCTGATTTACTGGTAGTCTCGAAAACCTACTCGGTCATGAAAAAATAATCCACATTGCCACAAGTGCCCTTGTGCATTTCTTGGAATGCCCGTCGTTTCCCATATCACATTCTGTGGTGGGATCGCCGATGAAGCGAAGTAGTATTTGCTATGCCAATTGACTTCCTTACTTATTTTCCGTTTGTAAGTAGGTTTTCGAGACTACCAGTGGATCATATAGATGGAATCGAAAACCTATTTAGAAACTAAAATTAAGTAATACAGTAGATGCAATAGAAAATACACCTTTATCTTCTCAGAAATCTCTGCAGAGAATAAATAAACTATGGGAAATGCCTGGCCTTCCTTCGAATCCACATCCTCGCTGTGACCCAGAGGCACTCGTCACAATGAGGCCCATTATTCAACTCGATACGAAAGGAAATAAGTCAATCCTTGCTATGCGACTTTAATACTAAATGCATAATCAGCACCGACGGCGCTCACCTGTCGCATTGCTTCCAAAGCCTCGCAGTACTCGTCTGCCTGTCGCCAGCTCATCCCCATCGAACCGGGCCCGTTCGGCCGATTTGAGTTCGTACGAGGCGGTAGTGAAGGGTCTTGACGTCATGCGACTTCGGCGACGGTACTCCGTCAGGTCGACTAGACCGCCAGAGTTACCAGCTTCCCTTCTGTCGTCGGCAGTCGCTATGCCGGCTTCTAGTAGGTCTCTACTCTCGACAGCATCGCCCTCTTCGAAGGTCTCGGCGAACCTTAGAGAGCCGGTTTTGGACGAGTCGTCCTGCCCTCCGAAGAAGATAGAGTCAGACGGTGGCGGCGAGGAGGCGAGCTGGACGACTGAACGCTCGGAGACCAGATATTCGATGAGGCGTTGATAGGGCTCCTGTCTGTGCGGCGAGTAGCAGACGGACAAGTAGCCTTCGGAGCAGGTCAACGTCACTGTAAAGGTGCAAGGGGGCACAAACATACACAAGAGACGAATCAAATTGATGAGACCTTGGATGAAGAGCCAATATCGGTATGCCTTTTTAGTACAGATGTCTGGGACTGGCAACATGTCCTTAAAATCGTGCACTCAAACCACTACATACAGAAGCCATCGACTCAAAATGATGATCGCAACAATCCGATAAACTGAAATAAAACGATGCTGGCGTACCTTTGTTATTGTCCAAAAAGGCCGAAGTATTAACAACTGGTAGTACTCTTTTGTCCGATGTCGATGTACCCGGGGAGTGGAGCTGCACAGGCTTTGGGCTTAACGCCAGATTGATACCAAGAGAGCACAACACCGGATCAATGGGATTGACGAACTTGGTAATAAATTGCATATATTTAACCTTAAATGGTAAACTGTATGAGCCATCTGATCTTGTTTATCTTCTATTTTGCCGAATAATTGCATTACCCACTTAAAAGTCAAGCCAATTCAAGAAGCACTCTATAGGTTCTAGGCTATTAGTCTTCTTGGCAA